CTATAGTCTTTCTTAGTCCAAAGTCTGTGCATTTCCTGGTACCACACTCCCTGATAGTAGTTGTTGAGGACCTTCATACACAAAACCACTCAAAACCACTACTCCTAGCTGAAACAAAGTTAAGCCTAGAATTCATATCTCCTACTTCCCATTCTCCCTTATTATTCTTTTTTATTAATTTGAAATTTTTATCAACTCATATGATATTAAGGTATCAGTCAAAAGCAAGAAAATCATGGTTTCACAATATAGGACATGTGTGATACTTGAATGATGAAAACAACATTCTTTATCTATGTCTGAAAAGGGAAGGATCACATCCTAGGCCCCTAACATATATATATATATATATATATGTTATATATGTATATATGTGTGTGTGTATATATATATATATATATATATATATATTTCATTGAATCAAGTTCATAGTAATTTATATCTATGGGACAGCCCCAGAAAACCACTTCCTCCCTACTGCAAAAGAAGTTCATGCAATATCCTTCCCTTTTCAGACATAAGATAAAGAATGTTGTTTTCATCATTCAAGTATCACACATGTCCTATATTGTGAAACCATGATTTTCTTGCTTTTGACTGATACCTTAATATCATATGAGTTGATAAAAATTTTCAAATTAATAAAAAGAAGATAATAAAGGGAGAATGGGAAGTAGGAGATATGAATTCTAGGCTTAACTTTGTTTCAGCTAGTTGAGTGGTTTTGAGCTGGTTTTGTGTATGAAGGTCCTCAACAACTACCTATCAGAGGGAGTGTGGTACCAGGAAATACACAGACTTTGGACTAAGAAAGACCTATAGCTGAATTTTAATTCTGTCTCTTACAGTCCATGTGACCTTAAGAAAAGTTAACTTTTCTGAGCCCTTGTTTCTTCATCTGTAAAATGAGGTACATTTATGCTAAATTAGGTTTAATTTTATCCCACTTAAATTTAAAAATTTTTAATAACCCAGCAGATTGTTTGGCATATAGTAGAGTTTCAGCAAATAATTGGTTTCCATTTTCCCTCCCCTGGCCTTGGCTTCTCCATCTATGATACGAGAGATGTGTGATCTTCAGTTCCCAAACTAGTGGCAGCACAAGTGACAAAGAAAACAACTGCTGGTGCAAGGTCATGAATCCTTGAACTAACTGGTTATGTAGGCGTGTTCTGGTTGTGGAAATGACCTGTAGAACCAGAACACCAGAGAAAGATAGATATCAGTGAGCTCACTATTCCCAGGGTTATTAAAATAGTTTTTAATAGATGCAGAATATTGTGTGTGGGGGGAATCAGGAGTGAAGCTAGGTATGGGATGGAAAGGGAGAATTTTGTAGACACTGATGGGCTATATACCAATTAATAGTCCCTGTACCATTTCCAAATTTTTCCAGAGGAAGGAACTAAGATTACAATGCAGCTAAATAAATCCACTATACTTAGCAGGGAGGTAAGATTCCTGTATTTATTATTTCACATCAAATATATATTGATAAATTATAAGGGATCATAGTATGAGTAAATAGCAGTGAAGAAGAGAGAAAATCTCCTCTTAGAGCTTGTGTACCAGAGCGGGGATAATATAAACAATATTACAACAAAGTAGGGTGAATATTGTAATGGAGAAGTCCAGGCTACTGTGGGAGCAAACAGAACACCATCTGCTGCATTTATTGCGTAGGATGCAGATGGAATTTAGACTATCTGCTATTTGGGATTCTCCTAGCTGAATGGCATACCCTTCTTTACACCAACACTTGTGAAAAGCATAGTCATGAAATATCACCCCTCGACTTTTTCTGTCTTTAGGCAGAATGGACATTGGCTACTAATGCAGTTTCTTGTTTGTATGACTAAAAAGGAATAGAAGAAGAAAATCACTAGAAGAAATACTACTAGTCCATAAGAATTCATCTTAAAGCAATATAACTAAATTTTTAGGTATTAGAAACTATGGCAGAAAATCCCAAATCCTGCAACAACCTGAGATGATGTGGCTCATTTCTAACAGAAAAAAACAACTGTGACCATAAACACATAAACAGAATCACACTAGTATGACATATGGATATTATTTAATTAAATGTCTAAACATGTACAAGAATAGCACTAATATTGAAATACACTTAAACAAATATTAAAAAGCCATGAATAAATCTTAATCTTCTCTTCTATTCAAGCCTTTTGCTGGAGCGAGTTAACATAATTGTTTCATTTTAAATTTAATTATATTTTCTCTATTTAACCTTTAGTAATGGTACTAATTAGTAAACATGAAGATGACTAAAAGTTAGAAAGGAAGAGGAGTATCCCTGAGTTAATGTATTACTAATGCATGTGTGCAGATTATTGGTGAATATTTCTGTTAAATATTCACTATTATGAATTATACAGGGTAACAATAAGAAATAGACCTTTCCCTGGAAGACAGGAATGTGAACAAGTAATCAAAAGACAAAGTATAGAGCAGATCAGCATGGTCTGCACACCAGCAGATCAGCATAAGTAATATGCTGAAAAATACTGTGCTATAATTCAGTTTCTGTTTTTGTAAGCCTGGAGTATAAATTATACTCAAAGATATCCCCAAGCTTCTTTTCCTACTTCGCTAGAATATAGATTGCACTTACTGCCAAACATGAGTTCTCATTAGATCAGACCACAAGGAAGCACACATTTAAGGGGAGGAGAAATGCACATGTCACCGCAGAGGAGTTTGGGCCTTGTATGCCCTTGTATGCCTGTCACATTCAGACCACAGGGCGTGGCTGCAGCAGCTAGAGCTGGAGCTGTGAAAATGCTACCAGCCCTGCCCAGTTACGGGCTTCTTACATGCTCTTACAGTTACGCCTCCTTTCAGTTCCAAGATGCTGTACGTTCTGTATAATTATCAGAGAGTAGGCCCAGTGTAGCGTCAAGCAATTCTTGAAAATTTTCAATGGATAAACTATCTTTTTCCAATCCCCACTCACTGGCAGGAAGGAATCAAGTAAAGAAAGAGTTCTTATACAGGGACAATGAGGACAGAAGGGAACCAGTTTGTGAAAAATCATTTTGTTAAGAAAGACTAAAGTGAGGATATAATTGTAAGAGTTGAGCAAATAGTTTTCAAAAGCTAGCACTATTATTATCTGGGTTAGTCTGAAGACGTTTCTTTATCTTCAACATGAAACATATTTAGTATTGATCTGGCACATTTTGTTCTAAATCTGCCACAAAGTAACGAAGCAACAAGAAAAATTGGATATGTATTCCATTACACTGTTCTGGTGATGTCAGGAACTTTTTATCCATATTATGAATCTTTTTCATCATAGGGAATAAAAAAGTCTCTCAATGAACAATTCTCATGAGTCATGATTAAATCAGCACTTTATGCAGATATAGGTCATATTCACAACCTTTGCTTGCTTGAGAATGATTATACTTTCTCTTACATAGGTGGCTTCTGCTGCCTTTGGGAAAGTAGTTCTCAGACCAAGACAAAAATAGATGGGCATGAAAAAAGAAAAAAATTAATTCCTTTTTGAACTTCCTTAATGTTAACAGAAAAATTTCAGATACATACAAGTTTTTCACCCCAGATAGAAAGCTCAGAAATGAACATTCAGGATGCTAAGATTTCACAGCTGATATTACTCCCTGAGCCGAACCTGGTTCTATTTAATGAACAGGGCTGAACTTCCAGCATCCAAACACTGCTATCCCCGTCAGCATACCCAGCCTCTTTTCCCCAGGGGCTTTCCTTCCTCTGCGGCTGATGGCTGCTTCATTTTGCACTATATTCCTGCCCTCTGCGATGCACCTGCCCTCCTTGTGAACCACCATTTCCCAGAACTCCTCCGGCAGCAATGCAAAATCTCTGTCTGAAACGTGTCTTTCTCAAGAGGAGATGAAAGTTATCTTGCCCTCTAGTGTAGGCTCTGCCTGGAAGCAATCGCACCATGACAGCGCCGCTGGAGTCTGACGCGCGGGGCCTCCGCACAGCCTCCAAGCCATCAGCTGTGCTACCCATGCCCCCCTTCCCAACCTCCCCAGCCCTTCCTAAAATAGTCCGGGGGTGGAGGAAGCGAGGCTCCTAGAATTCGTTCAACGCCCTCCATCTCCCATCTGATAGTAGCAACAGTACCGACCATCACAATAAGAGGGTGGCTACCTTTTGCTTCTGCATCACTGGAGCCCAGGGGATGTGCCAAGCGGAAATGACAACTCAGAGAGGGGGATATTAATAGGGATATCTACGTATGAGATGCAAAGAGGCTCCCAACCTCTTCTCCTTCTCCATGAGTATCACACACGTACACACCACTGCCACCACCCCTCCCTCCCATCAAGTACCCAGAGCTCCAGCGTGCAAGCACAAACTTGCTTACAATGTCTCTGCAATTTGTTTCTCCTTGCACCTATCTCTCCTTTCTCTCTCTCTCTCTGTCTCTCCTTTTACCTTCTCTCTCGGCCTCGTTCGGGTTCTGAGCAGTGGGGCGAGCTGAGCGAACACCTCCTCCCGGCTCGCTGCGCCCAGGCTCGGCGGGACGGCGGCTGTGTGCCAGCCCTGTGGCCGGCGCTCCAGCGCGGTCTGCAGGGCTGCAGGGCGCCGGGCCGCCCTGGTGACAGAATGCAACAATCCCAGCCCTCCCGGGCGGGCGGCGGCGACCCAGCGCCCGCGCTCACCCGGGCTGGTTCGCCCACACTCACTCCCGCGCCCGCCGCGCCGCCGCTCTCCCCGCCCTCCGCGAGCCGTTCCTCCTCCCGCTGCACACCGGGGGTTAGGCCTCCCCCTCTCCCGCCTCCCGCAGCTGCCGCTCCTGTCGGAAGGGAAGGTCGCGGAGGCCGGTAGAGCCTCTGGACAGGGCCCAGCGCCACCCTAGCCCGCCACACCCCCTGCCTGGCCCCGCGCCCCGCGCCCCGCGCCCCGCGCCCCGCGCCCGGCTCCGGGATGCGCCGGTGCCTGGAAGGGCTCCGGGCGGGGGCCTGGGGCTCGCTCGCAGGCTCCCCTACCTGCTGCAGGGAGACGCACGGCCTCCCGCTTTCTCCACAAGGGCAAAGCGGTCCTGTGACCCGCGCTCTGGGCGAGCCTGTGCAGGGGGCCCACCTCCCTCCCGGGGTCTAGGTGGGAAGGAAACGGCCCAGAGCGCGGGGACTTGCTGCCTCCGCGGCCAGAAGGAGTTGCGCTGCTCCGACCGCCAACTTTTGCCCAGGATTTCCACTGCCCAGTTGACCTCTCTGAGCAGAGCCTATCCTGGAAGACCGGGAGGTTCCCTGACGGTCCCAGGAAGGACGTGATGCAGAGCAAGGAGCACATTGGCCCGCTCCCTTTTCATCAACTTCCAAAAAGATCTTAACAGCTGGCCTTTGGGCTGTCAGATCAGTAGCAAGTAATTTAATTTGAGGGAGACTGGTCAGGCTTTATAGGATTTTGTTATTGTTGTTTATAAAGCTTAGATGTCTCGAGAAGGCACGGGACATCTTAATCGCATTAATTCTTGATTATTTATTAAGATGATGTTTAACAACAATAACAACAAAAAACACTTTTAGGTTCTTCAGACGCACTGTGTGCATTCTGTACATTGTAGAGCCATCTAAATCTTTTACCACAAGCCCTTCTCGTGGTGTGGAAGAAATCCTGGTGTTGCCTAGTAGCATTTGGGAGAATTTATTTTGTTGTGGTTTCATGGTTTCCAAGCAAAGTCAAACACAGACTTTCTTCAGCAACAATAAAGTCCAAGTCCAACAGGATCATTGCAGCTAGAATAATTGAAGCTATGTTGCAAGAATCTTAAAAGTAATGATCACCCCCCTGGGGGGGTTGGGTCACTATCAGCGCATGCCCTGCCTCTGCCCAGGCAGACCCGTCACCACGGACATCCAGAGTCCTCCCGAGATAACCACCAGAGCCTCGTTATTCCAGGTCAGCATTCTCTGCCCAAGTGCCCACCTGACTGGGATCCAAACGTTCAGGCCTGCCACTCAGAGGGAAAAGGTCAAACTGTCTCAGCACACCCTTTCAATTCCTACCTTCATAGAACCAACTCACCCTACTGGTTTTTGAAGATGGAGTAGGAAGATATTCTCCCAACTTGATATTCTATGTGTTAAGGAGCTGCCTCCTTGGGTTAATTTACTTGAGAACCAAGCCATTTAAATGCAAGCCTGAAACATTGCTTCCACCAAGACTCCTTTTCTAGACCTAACCTCCGTTCCCGAGGCTTAGACCTGCAGGAGCACATGGCTGTTCGGCTGGCATTGGCTCGCCACTGAGCTGAACTTCCACTCTTAGCTCAAGTTTATCCTCCAGAGAAGGACTAAGCACATTTCAGACTTTTGAAAAGGGCTCATCTTTTCCATACTCCCCAGGGAAGGGCTCTGAGGCTCTATTTATTCTGTAACTATTGTTTTATCACCTACCGCATACCAGATATTATCCTAAGCACTGGGGCTAACAGTGGTAAGCAAAATCTGACCTGGTGCCTGCCTTCTCAGAGCTTACAGTGTGATCAGGGAGAGACAGGCATTCATCAAAGAACCACGCAAATACTTAGAAAACCCCATTCTCCAAGAAAAAGCAAATGTTGCTATGAAAGCTTTCAATGAGAAGAATTAATTTATTTCAGGGATCAGAAAAGGGTTGCTAAGGGAGTGGCATCTGAACTGTGAGGTACAGGAGGGATGGCATGAGATAGGTGGAAGGGGGTGCGTGGGGGTTTAGAAGCGGGCTCCAGACAGAGGGAAAAGAATGTGTGAAGGCATGGAAGGAAATCATATGGTGCACTTGAGCAACTGAGGAGGACCTAGCTGACTGTAGGAGAGAAAGCAGGCGAGAGGGCAAGAGGTTCGGGAAATCATGGGCCCAGTGAGGCTCGAAACAGAGCTAAGTGCAGACTGTGCCAGTCCTAAAAACCACTCTGAAGGGATGGGTCTTTATAGTAAGCCATTAAAGTATTTTCAGTAGTTGGAACAACATTGATTAGATTTATGCTTTGAAATTTTCTCTTTGGTTATAATGTGGAAAACAGATTAGAAGTGGGGCCAAAAATCAATGACTGTGAACCAGTTAGGAAGGTGCTGCAGTACTCCTTTAGAAAAGATTATGTCATTTGTTATTAGAGTGATGGTGGTGGGAAAAGTGGGTGGATGTGAGAGATATTTAATAGATAAAACTTATAGGGCACAAGGCCATATGTTCTGCTATAGACTGAATGTTTATGTTCCCCCAGAATTCATATGTTTAAACCTAATCCTCAATGTGATGATATTAGGAGGTGGGGCCTTTGGGAGTGATTGTGTCATTAGAGTGGAGGCCTCATGAATGGGATTAGTGTCCTTACAAAGGGACTTGAGAACTCCTTGGCTTTTCCGCCATGTGAGAACGCAGCCATCTATAGTCCTCACAAGACACAGAGTCTGCAGATTCCTTGATCTTGGACTCCCAGCCTTCAGAGCTGTGAGAAATAAATGTCCATTGTCTATAAGCTACCTAGTCTATAGTATTAATTGTATATTATAGCAGCCCAAACACACTAAGAAATGTGACAAAAGGACGTTAGAAGAGTATGGTGGTTAAAGTCTTGGGTTTTGAAGCAAGGAAGCCCTAGATTCGAGTCCCAGCTTTATCATTATCTACCTGTGTGATTTTTAGCTAGTAATTCAACCTCTCATGAATTCAGATTTTACAAACCCGCAATTCAGGATTATAATAATATCTCACTCATAGGGCATTTATGGGTATTAAATGAGCTGATACCTAAAAAACACTTAGTACTTTAGTGCCTGGCATGTGGTCAAGAAATACTATAAATAGCGTCATTATTATACTTATAGTTGTGATTATAATTATTCTAGATGTTCCCTAATTTGGCAAATAAGGAGAAAATAATTATTCTCTACTTCACTTTGCAATAGGCTGATTGAGCTAGGGTGCCAGTTCCTGAGAACAGCAAGATCTAATCCCAGGCCGAGATGATGAGCCGAGAGACAGCTGCCAGGGCAACAACCTGATTTTCTCCTCCACCAAGCCCAAGGCCCATCCCCCTCACCCATCTTCCTTTCATCCAATCTCACTTTATATAAAATCCTATTCTCATACGTCACTACAGCTTCGTCTTCAATATTTCCTCTCTGCATTAACAGGAGGTAGCAAAGTATAGCAAATGTTGCAGGCAGCCTTCAGCTCAGCTTTATCTCAATGCCTGCATCATCTTGCTCTACACATCTGTAAAATAAGCACATCATTCCCATATGAAATCAACAAATAATCTTTTGTATTTCTGTCATTCCTATTTTATGTAATTATATTCATACCATGGCAAAAAATTGCCATCATTAAAATATGTTGTTGATTTATCAGCCAGCCCCGAGGTCTTACAAGGAAGTGCATCTTTACTCAAATAAACACATTTGCAGCTCAACAAGTGAGTCTCTTCTCCCACCTCCCTCTTTTAGTCATAAGTCTCTTTAAAACCACCACATATGCATAGTGCAGTGAAATCCCAATCAAAACAGCTCACTTACTTTTTAAAGGAACTGGGACATCCTACCAGTCAGGGTCTTCATGCAGTCAGTAATGGTCTGGCTTGGTCTTGGAAACTTGGGAGCCTCTTGCTAGGTAATGGCTTCAAGTGGAGTCAATACAATCTGCTGACAAGGGAGGAAAGACCAGATGTGGAAGGAGGGGCTTATTTTCATAGCAAGGAAGGCTCAGGAAGATTTGGGGTTCAGAGTACTCAGACTCACCAAAATCCTCCAAAATGCCCCTTTTCCAGTTCTCATAGCCCACTATTTATAATAGGCTATGGAAAGACCTGGAAAATCAAAAATCAAAAAGACCTGGAAAATCTTTGAATTCATCTTATTCTATAATTTTGTAACCTTCGGGAACAGACCTTAGGTTTGATTTTTTCCTATATCAACAATGTGGGTAGAATGGTAAGGGTCCTAGAAGTTCTCTCATGCCTAACCATACCTTGGTCCCAAGAATGTGAAGTTTCTGAGCTTGTCATTTTACTTCTCCAATCTCCCGTACAGTTGGAAGTAGCTGACACATCCCATAGTCCTTCTCATTCTCTTCTTTCATATAGTTCCACAGCAGCAGTCAACTTGGTCTCCTAAATTCTCATCTTCAATGAGCCTTAACTTCCACCAGCCATAGTTTAAGTAGCTGTTTGGTAGCACATCATGTCTCTTTAGAATTTTATTTTACATTGGCAATGAGGTCATCTCTGTAAGCAAATGCAACCAGGTCAAACAAGAGTCCCATCTTGAAGGCCTGGAACACATCTTGGCATAAAATATTGTGGCAGTCAGGATTTCATTAAAGAAAAATTAAAACGACTTGAAGATTGTTAGAAAGGCTGGAGAAGTGATCATCAGTGTGTCTGCCTTTAGCTTTAAGGTAGTACCATTGCAGGTGCAATTCAGACTCAGCAAGTTGCTGCTGCCACCCAGAGGTGAATATGTTGCAAGAAACCGCCAGCAGCATCACAGCTGCCCTGCTCCGCTCTAAGGCTAGTCCTGGTGATGGAGCTTGGTGCTCAGCCAGCCACTGTGAAACTACTACCATTGCTGCTGGAGGGAGAATTTCTTGGTGTCTCCTTTGCCTTCCAATTCTCATGAGATTGCACTGGCAGAATGCAAATTTCACCCAAACCCCTCAGGAAAGGGAGTCTATAGGAAATGTAAGGCTTTTAGCCCTGACATACAGGAAAGATGACAGAAGGGGTTCCAAAGGAAGGTTGTTTGCCAAGAAATAGTATCCAGTACAAACACAAACTTGGGTTGATCTGGTTAATGCAAATGTTTGCTGAAATTAAAACTCACAGAAATTCCAGTTTAAGAAGTTGAATCTTTGTAATCTACTATAATTCATGCTGATATTGTTTTAGAATTTAAAAGGTTAGGTTTTTAAAGACTGTTTTCTAAAAGGACATGAAATATTTTAGCACTGCTGGTACATTTCAAGATGCTATTAATTCCCTAGGGTAGTTTTCTTGTTCCTTTTCTCCTTGTGCTTCCTTTAGGAGCTGTTTAATTTAGACCACTATTTTTTCTCCCCTACTTTAGCCACCCACTCCTGTGGTCATAATCTTGACCTTGTCATTATCAATAATGATAATTATTTGTGATGACAATTGTAAGCACCCCACTCTCTGATGATGCCTCGTTCATTCCCAGTTCTCTCCCTCTAAGTATTCCAATTCCAATAATCCTTCAACTGAATAGGACCTTACAGCCATTGACAGGGCCACTGCTGGCCCT